TTTTTTTTTTTTTTAACCAGGAATTGAACTCAGGGCCTTATGCTTGCCAGACAAGTGTTGGTCATGTTTTTTGAGGTTTAATTTACTTTTTAAAATAGTTTTTGAGCTCTGACAAACACATACAGTTGTCTGTCAAATTATCAGGAAGGCGTATTTACTTATGTCTCACTCAGAGAGGGAGCAATGCAATGCCACATTGGAGAAGAAGAGCAAAAAGATGGTTAGTGATTTTTATGGGAGCCACGGTCATAGTTTGCTATCTCAAATTGAGCGGATTAACTCACGTCATCCCTGTAATACAGTTAATATTGACCTGACCTGGTCTTTTTAGGATGACATTTATTTGGTTACTGGTCTGCTGCAGTATCAGGAGTAGAGAAAGAGTCAATTATAAATGATTTTAAGAAGTGAGATATATCTTTTCATGGTTTATTTCATTTTTGCTCCATCAACCAAACATTCTAGAAGTCTTAATTATATTTTAGATACAGCAATAATAGATTCTAGATTTCAATTTTACTTCTAAGTCTATGCTTTTATACTCATAAGTGACATATACTCAGATAATATGCTTTTTTTTTTGGTCTTTTTTGAGACAGGGTCTCACTATGCATTTCAGGCTGGCCTTGAGCTCACTTTGTAGCCCACCCTGACCTCAAAACGATCCTCCTGCCTCAGCCTCCTGAGTGCTGGGATTACAGGCGTGTACCACCAGCTAGATAACATGCTTTGATTTTGGTTTGGAAAATATGGTTGTAAGGTATAGCACGGGGAGAAGAGTGGTAGGAAGCTTGGCTTTGGCTTAGCTTCTTTCAGCTGTGGAACTGAGCGTTTGTAGAAATGGAGAGCCAGGGTGGTCCTGTGCCTGGCGAAGAGCGAGAACTACCTCCTATCCAATGCCTATCATGTATCTACTGGGCATTGTGCTCAGGGCTCTTCCTACTGACAGCTGCTCTGGCTACGATTTTCTCCTAGATCCAAGCACCATTTAAGTCAAAACAACAAAAATATCAAAAACAAACAAACAAACAAACACATCCATCCCATGGGGCCTAGTTCATTAATAGTTGTCATAGCTTCCACACCCGCTAGAAGACCTTGGCCCCATAATTAGGCTAATTGAATTTCAGGGCTTTGAGGTCATGAGTTAGAAGGGCGACCCCTCTTCTCCTTAGGACAGTGCGAGAACCACAATGCACAGTTCTTTCAATGCGAGGAGCAAACCTAGCCTGGGACTGTGGTCTCCAGCCTGGAACCTCAGACAAGAAAAGACAACGATAAATGTGAAACTGGAAATACCTTTCAGCCTTGCAGACGGGAAAGGGCAATGGGAGGAAACATGGCTTGCAGGGACCTCAGACAATGTAAACAACAATAACCAGACCAAACCCCCACCAACAAACGAATTACTGGCAGAGACAGATGTAAGGCAAGAAGGTTGAGACCTCTTGAATTCAGGAGGAGGTCCGCACAAAGGATCCCGATGAATCCTGGTAAACCTCAAAGAATTTTCTCTTTCTTCCATTTCCCCAGCTCTGAGGTCCTAGCTCTCCTGAACCCTCCTTTTCTTTACCCTTTCATCAGAAAGCCGAGAAACTCTTCCACGGAAATAGGAGCGAAGGAAGGGGTCTTAGGTGAATGGACGATACCAGGTAGAGTCTCAGATATCTGAGTGCTGGTAAATACAGCCGTCCTGGAGGCAAGGGACACATCCCGTGCCCTCTCAAGGTCCCCGAGGTTCATGGATACTGTCATTCTCGGCCGCACTAGGGGGAGGGCCTGCACCGTCCATGCTGCCATGGAAACGCGCCGCCGAGTTCCTTTTCTTACGTGGGGCGGGGCCTTCCTCCGCAGCCGCCTATCGTTCGCAGGGCTTCCTGAGTGGCGGGCAGCGGCAGTGAATGGGCGGCCTGGTACTGCGTGACGCGACGGGAAAAGGGGGAGCTCGCGGCCGGTGGCGGCGGCGGCGACAGCGGCGACCCGGGGATCGAGCTGGAGGGACCTGGGGAGCGTGCCGAGACCTCTCGCTCGAGCGCGAAGACCTCCCGCCGGGATGCCTGGTACGGCGCGGGGGCCGTGGGGGCGCGGCGGGCGCGGAGGCGTGGGACTGGCGCCGGCGGGGACGGCGGCCCGGAGGGGGCGGGGTGGCAAGCATGGCGGCAGTGCCGGGGAAGGGGCTGCGGGCCGGAGGGGGGGGGGAGGCCGGGCCGGGAGGCCGGTGGTCTCGAGGAATCGGGGGCGGGTGAGGGGCTTCCCAGAGCGGAGATCGCAGGCGGCCTTCTGGGGGGCGGTGGAGACGCCAGAAGGACGCAGGGAGAGTTGTGGGGGGGATGGAAAAAGGGGCGGGGAGAAGAGGTTAGGGAGGAGGGGAAAGGGTGTTGAAAAAGAAGAGGGGAAGGATTGGTGGGCTCGTTGTAAGTAACGAGGAAACGGGGGGCTTGGGAGGTGCGCTAGGGAAGTGCTCGCAGCGATTACAGGCGGAGTGCGCCGTCGGCGGAGCCCTCGACCGGGCCCTTCTCAGCTCCTGTACTTCCGCCCCATTATTTAGGCTCAGATTGCGTGAGGAAGGCTCGTAGGTTACACAGAGCTGATCTTTTGTTATTCCATTCCAGGGGAGCAGATGGACCCTACTGGAAGTCAGTTGGATTCAGATTTCTCTCAGCAAGATACTCCTTGCCTGATAATTGAAGATTCTCAGCCTGAAAGCCAGGTTCTAGAAGATGATTCTGGTTCTCACTTTAGTGTGCTTTCCCGACACCTTCCAAATCTCCAGATGCACAAAGAGAACCCCGTGTTGGTGAGTGATAACTTGTTTGAGAATGATCGTGCAGATTTGAGTTTTCTAATGTGGGCCAGCCAGCATAGATAAGTAGTGAGAGGATCACTATCTTTTGGATAAAGTTGGTTGGGACAATGAAATAAACATGGTCACAAGAAGTATGTTTCATTTTGGGCTATTTATATGTTGTGTCCACATTATGTGTGTATATTTTCTAGGATGTCGTGTCCAATCCTGAACGGACACCTGAACAGGGAGACCATAATAGAGGGTTCAATGAACATTTGAAAGAAAACAAAGCGGCAGGTGAGCCATTTAAAGCCATCCATTCCCTTCACATTTTTGTAGGTGCTGTGGGGGGAGCACTGAACATTAAGGGCCTGTGGTGAATTTGTATAAGCAGATCTAGTGCAGTACCTGGTAAGCTTTCAAAATCATGATGTTGTGATGTGGCTGATTAGGTTGGTATTGTGTGTGTTCCTGAATTGTATTAAAGTTTAGTGGTAAGTTCTTGTGCTAATAATGCTCAATCATTTTTTTCAGATCCTGCGGATTCTCCTCATTTGGATACATGTAGTTCCATCAGTCAGGTCATTGAACCCTTACCTCAGCCAAATAGGACAAGCAGGTATACTAATATTTGAAGGAATTTGTATTTAAATTTACTTATTTATTTTGAGACAGGGTTTTGCTTTGTAGCTTAGGCTGGCCTGGAATTTATGGGATCCTCCTGCCTCAGCCTCTTGAGTGTTGGGATTACAGGTGTGTGCCACCACACCTGGCTATTTAAATTAATTAACAGATCAGCTATTCTATCTGTATTATCCGTCGCCTCATACCAAGAATAAAGGGATTTATCTTTTTGTGAATTAAGGAATGAGACTTGAGAATTTCATAGATAATACTGTGTTTAGTACTGATAGATGGAACCTCTTTTTTGAAAGTAATATTTTTTTATAGCTGCGTTAGTCAAGTTGTCACCTATCTTGTGCATGTAATGCACGTAAGACAAAATAGGCACTCCTCACTGTTAGAAAAGATAAAGCTTCTAAAAAAATAACTAGTGTACTGTTAATCAAAACTGTTAGGCATACTTTCTACCAGCTAACCAGAGCACTTTGCCACTGTTAGATCCAGGTGTGATTCATGCCCTAAATAATAATCTCTAGTTTTTACCACCTCTTACATATGTTTTTACAGTGTCCATTTTTTTTTAGTTCATCCCATTAGACCCTATATTGGATGTTTGACATATAATCTTACTTAATTCAACCCGTAAAGGAGCTGTACAGTAAAGACATTCAGTTACCTCCATTATACAGTACAGTGGGAGAAACTGATGGGCAAAGAAGCTAAATACCTTCTCTGGATTACATTGCTAGTAAGTGACAGATCTGGACTTGGATTTGCTCCTTTTGACTCAAATACTTCCCCTCTCTATGGATTCATTGCTCCTCAGTCTTCTGCCCCAGTTTGCCTAAGGCCAAAGAAAAACAACTTTAGGAGCCAAGAGGTGTTGGGGTTGGGAGATAAAGGAGAATGGTAGCTTGAAATGGTTCTAGAATACTGTTTTTGTTTTTTTTTGAGACAGCGTTTCACTCTATAGTGCAGGCTGCCCTTGAACTCACTGTGTAGCCCAGCCTGGCCTCAATCTCAGGGTGATCCTCCTGCCTCAGCCTCCTGAGTGCTGAGATTACAGGCATGTGCCACCCTGTCTGGCAAGAATATTGTTTTGTCTTAAAATTAAGTGCTGTTTTTTTCCTGGTGTATCTTATACTCTATACACAGATTTCTCCCACATCAAGTAAAAATGAATGTTCTGGAACAATCTGCAAACTGGTGGGCTCATTGTGGGCTGTAGGTGGGTTGTATTTGGCCCACATGTGGTAAAATACATCTGAATTAATTGACATAATTTAAAAATGGGGAAATTTTTCATCAAACCTGGATTTTAGGTTTCTGGGATTACCAGTCCTTGGCAGCAGTTGGTGAGAGCTGTGAGCTGTGTGCCTTGTGCCCCGCAATACGTGGCACGAGAGTGTTGTCTCCAACTTCTTGTTTGGTGGACACCTGGACTGGGAGTTCTTTTGTCATTTATCATAATGTTTCTGCTTTTATTCTTACACTCACTTCATTTATCTGTGTTATCTTGCTTTGCTTTGTAGACATTTAAGTTTATAGTACCTCTTTAGGAACACATGCAGACTTAGCTGTTTTTATGGCTCAGAGCCCTGGTTTGAATAGGGGGACCGGAAGTATGCCTATCCCATTATGAATAAAGCGCCATTGGAGAAGTTCCATGCTACTACTTTTCCTTTTCTTTCTTCTTTTTTGTGTTTTGTTTTGTTTTGTTTTCTTTTGTGTGTGTGTGTGTGTCTTGTTTTCTTGAGACAAGGTCTCCCTTTGTACCTCAGGCTGGCCTTGAACTCCTTGTGTAGTCCAGTCTGGACGTGAACTCAGGACGATCCTCCTGCTATAGTCTCCCAAGTGATGGGATTATAGTTTTCCTTTTCAGCATCGATGTGATTGAACGGCTATGTTTAGTAAATATTCAGGCATTGTGGCATGTACTTTAAAGGGGCTTTGTTGTCATGGAGCTTATAATTTAATGAGGGAGACTGATATTAATCAAGCCATTATTACATCAATAGCTATTTAGTTACAGTTGTGATCATTTAAGAGAGAAAAAATACCTTTTTGGGGGACTGTGGGAGCAGCACTTTGAGGAGTACAGTCCAAACAGGAGCCGTCATTGCTGGGTATGGCTGGAGGGCTGAGGAGCGGCCTGTGTGTAGCGTGAGAGGAACGGCGCTCCTAATGGAGTGAGCTGTGGAGTCAAGGCCTGGGAGCCAGGAAGAACTCGAGGGTGGTTCTAGAAGAGTGAAAGCTCTCCATAACGTATGTCTGTGTTGTGTTTATTCATTAATGCAGATATTTTGATAAAATGGCTTCTTGGGAACTGTCCTGTGAAAGTGAATCCCCCCCGACAATCTTTGCCTTAACTAGTGTGCTATTGATATAAGCCGACATTTCTAAACTATGAGTATTGTACAATATGGAAAATTTTTTTTTATTTTACCGCGAAACACGAGATAACTGTAGATTTATATGGTGTTTTAAGAAATAATAGAGCTGGGTGTGGAGGCACACACCTGTAATCCTAGCTACTCTGGAGGCTGAGGCAGCAGGATTGCAAATTGGAGGCCAGCCTGAGAAATTTAGCAAGCCCTATCTCAAAAAAAAAGAAAAGAAAGGGTGGGATGTAACTCAGTGGTACAACACTTGTCTGGCATGTGTGAGGGCCTGGGTTCTATCCTAAGTAGCAGCTCCTCCCACCCCCCCCCCCCCAAAAAGAAACCAAACAAATAGATCCTTTGGTAACATTTTTTTGGAAATACAGTATAACATATATACTATATGTGTGTGTGTATATGTATTTTTTTTGAAAATTTTTTTTTTTTTTTAAATTTTTGAGGCAGGGTGTCACTTTGTAGTTCAGGCTGGTCTTGAACTCACTATGTGTAGCCCAGGATGGCCTTGAATTTGAGGAGATCCACCTGCCTCAGTCTTCTGAGTATGGAGATTACAGGCATGAGCCACCGTGCCTGGCTATTATGGGAATTATTGTAAATGTCTATGTAAAGGTCTGTTTCTCCTCCCTATTTTGTTACTGGAGATTGAATCTAGGTCCTTTGCACTGAGCTACATCCCTACACCTTTTTTATTTTGAGACGTTCTCACCAGTCTATCCAGTTGGGACTCAGATTTGCCATTCTTTTTTTTTTGGCAGTTGAATTTAACATTTAATACTTTTTTTTCTCTCATAATCTGATTTACTTCAAGTCTCTTCTGACTTTCCTAATCATTCTACAGATATTTCATTCAGTATTTTGTATATGCCAAGCGCTCTTGGGTTTGAGGGGGGAGTACAAAGTGATCAGAAAAAAAATCCTGTGCTTTCATGTTGCTCACATGCTTATATGGGGTATAGTCATACCTGATAAATGAGATGTAGCAGCATGTTAGAGACTGATGAGGTCTGCAGAAAAAAAGCAGGGAGCAGAAAGTGTGAAGGAGTTGTGAGTTTATGTAGCGTGGCTGGGTTACGCTTCTCGGCTGAGACATTTGATTGAAAATGCAGCCTGATTAAGTGGTCTCTGTGGTTATCCGGGGGAGTGCAGTCTGTGCCCAGAGAGCGTTGCGCGAGGCCCTGTGCTGTGAGTGTTCCCGGCAGGTGGGTGAATGCCGGGGACGTTAGTAGGACTATAGCAGAGGGACCCAGAGAAGTCGGAGAAGTCGGAGACATGCAGGGGGGACCAGTTCAAGGCGTTCGGGTGGTTTTGAGAAGCACAGCTTTTCTTTGTGAGATAGGAATGCATTTAAGGGTTTTGAGCAGAGGAATGACAGTTTGACTTAAGATTTTTAACAGGCTCACTCTGCCTCCTGGATCAAGAGCAGACTAAAAAGGAGAAACAGGGTCAGAGCCAGGAAGGCCAACTCAGAGGCTGTTGAAATAATTTAGGCAAAATACGACAGTGGCTGGTTCATGGTGGAGGTGGATGAAGAATGGTAGGATGCGGAGGGTGTTTTGCAGTATGAGGATTGAACCCTGGGCTTTGCGCTGAGCTACATCCTCAGGCCTTTTGATTTCAAGACAGGGTCTTGCTAAGTCACTGCATTGTCCAGGCTAGGCTCAAACTTGTGATCCTTCTGCCTCAGCCTCTCAGAGCGCCAGGATTACAGGTGTGCACCACGGTGCCTGGCTGAGATTGAGTATCTCAAAGGAGGCTTTCAAGATGGAGCAGATGTGGGGTGTGTAGAGACAGGAAAGAGATGGCAGTAACCCGAAGTGTTTGGTCTGGGCAACTAGGATGGAGAGTCTGTTACTGAGATGGAGAAGACTACAGGAGGAACGGTTCAGTTTTAGACTTGCTAAAATTGAGCTACCTTTTCAGCAGCCAGTTGGAGATGCTGAGGAGATGACTGACGGTGCGAGTCTGGAGCTCAGGGGAGAGGTCTAGGCTAGAGATGGGCCTTGTGGAGTCGTGTGTGGGTAGTGCTGTGTTCAGAGCGGAGTCTGCCCAGGATCTTAAGGTGGTAAGTGTAGCTGGAGAAGAGGTCCAAAACCCACTCGTCCACCAGCATTTAGAGGTCGGGGCCACGAGGAAGGACTGTCAGAAGGCAAGAAGGCTCAGGTGTGTGGTCTGTGCTGCTTGTTGTTGCTCCTCTAGTATCTTTTGTCACATTTGCTCTTGGACTTCCTTTCCCAGAGGACCAAATATGTTTTATTTTACTTCATTTTATTTTTTGTTCTGTTTTATTTCGATGGAAATCTTTACTTAATCCTTTTTCTCTTCCTCGGATCATGGGTCCCTAACTTTTCAAGTTTAAGGTTTTAGGTTTTTTTTGCTTAGCTGTGCTTAATGCTGTTAGTATGCATTATTAAATGTGTAGAAGATTGCAAGGAAGCAAAAGATGTCACCTGTAATCTTGCCACACAGAGGCTAATTGCTATAAACATTTTAGCAAATTTTCCATTTGTTTTCATTTAATTTACATAGTTGCCATCATGTGGAAAATAAAAGTTTGTGTTTGTAGATCTTTTGACTTGACAGTGTGAACATTTTTCCCATGTGAATTAAAGCAATAACATTTCCCTAACTAAACCTATAGATGTGATGAGAAGAGTATGTGTGTGTTCTGTGTGCGCTTGCTTTTATGAGGGACTGAGTAGTTTGAAACTAACCTCATCGCTGTCCTTTAGCACTTCTCCCTACAGTAAGTACACTATCCTGTACATTCATAGAGCAGTTGTCACACCAAATAATTCCATACTGGCTAACAATACTATTCATTTTCGGATTTTTATGATTGTGTCAAAGATGTCTTATATTTTATTTATTTGATATAGGATCCAGTCTAGGTTCATACAATGAAATTGATTGTTTCAAATTATTTATTGTTTCAAATATTTAATTTAATTTAATTTACTTATTTATTTATTTTTTTTGAGACAGGGTCTCATTATGCAGTTCAGGCTGATCCTGAACTCACTTTGCAGCCTATGCTGGCCTCCAATTCGCAACAATCCACCTGCCTCAGCCTCCCGAGGGCTGGATTATAGGTGTGGGCCACCACACCCGGCATTCAAACATTTTACTTTATTTTA